CACACACACACACACACACACACACACACACACACACACACACACACACACACGCACAACACAGACACACACACACACACACACACACACTCACACACACACACACACACACACACACTCACACACACACACACACACACTCCCAGCAGAGTGTGAAAGTTTCTTGTTTGGAGTTAATCACTCAGCAGAGTTTAATCTGCAGAATCAGAGCAAAGTGGATTAAGAGATGAGAGCGTTTAATCAAAGTGTTCTTCAGTCTAATTACACATCTCATTTACTGGCACACACACACACACACACACACACACACACACACACACACACACACACACACACACACACACACACACACACACTGTTATCTGCAGCATTTGAACATAACCCCCTCTGTGTTGCAGAGCCTTAATGTGGCAGCGATGTGTGAAATGTAAAGCGGTGCGCTGAATGGACAAACACAGAGACGTTAAGAGAGGGACGACTTCAGGCCCGGCTCGTTTCTTTACACTAATTAATTACAACCTTTGTCCACAGGGGGCGACAAAAGATTCTCACAGCGGATTTAAATGACATATTCAATATTTGATCGTTAGGCTTTTTGGTGAAGACGGGTGGTGAGACATTTAATTTAGATAAATTTTGTCTGAGGAAGTGACCATATTTGGTAAGTGGGAGGAACTGGAGATGAGTGAAGGTGGGGGTTTCTCTAGCATTGACAGGTCGCTACCATGGCAACCTGTCAAATAAGGATAGAGGCTCAGAAATGTGTTTCCACCCGCTCCTCCAAATATGGTCACTTCTGCTCCACAATCAGACCTCTTAATGGCGTCTACGAGGGGTGGCTAGTAATACCGGCTCTGGCGTTAGCTCGCCCGCTACACAATTCAAAGTAGCCTCAGACAACGGCTCAGATAGAGTCCCCCGGTCTCCTGAATGTTTAACTTGGACGCTAAGATCAGAGCCAGCGGTCTCGTGGCCGAAGGGCTCCGCCTCCTCCTCGTGTCAGAGATGGTGTCAGAGTGGAACAACAAGTTTCCTGTTATTATGATGTTGGACCGCTTTTATTATGAAAGAGCAAAAGCAGGCCCACCACTATCGCCTCCTAACGGGTGTGTGACATCACAGCGTCCACTACTCATACACTGTGGTCACATTACATAGTTGTTTGTGTGTGTGTGTGTGTGTGTGTGTGTGTGTGTGTGTGTGTGTTTATTGTGTAACAGTGAGTGTTCACACATCAGTGCAGTGTCCTGATCAGATCTCAGATCAGATCTTCATTCTGTTTGAACGTGTTCCCTCACCTCCTCCCTCGCTGCTCTGATAAATAATCATGTCCCGCTCGCCATATGGAGCTCAGAGGACACACTGATCAGAGGCCTGAACAGGACCGTGTGTGTGTGTATGTGTGTGTGTGTGTGTGTGTGTGTGTGTGTGTGTGATCATACAGCAGACTGGTTTTAACACATTTAAAGTATGACTGCTCTCTTTAACTCTAAACTGTTTATGGTCATACTGTATCTCGAGTCAGTCTGTTGGTTCTAATCACCCAATGGATGACAAACAGTGAACAAGCTAAAAATCCAGTTAAGGTTCTCACAGTCACAGACTCAATGGCAGACATTTAGCAGCTCCCACCAGTCACTCAAAGAGGCCACACCCCCTCATTCTACATCCCTTTAAGCCTTAATATAATGTAAACAGGTGAGTTGTATAAACATTCAGCCCGTACAGTTGAAAAGAGAAATGAGCTCTAGAGACCCAAACTGTTTTTATACCAGACTGTAAACATGTTTATTTTAACATAGAGCTCTATGAGGACTGACTCACAGCAGGAGACAGACTCTAGTGGACACTGGAGGAACTGCAGCTGTAAAGTTGGACATTTTAACATGGGGCTCTATGGAGACTGACTCACTGCAGGAGACAGACTCTAGTGGACACTGGAGGAACTGCAGCTTTCTTTTATTGGCTGAATTTCTGGTTCTAACACAAACTCTTGGGTGTCACCTCACACAACCTGCTCACCTGGACCCTCCGAGGGTTACATCATCCCTGAGACAAAGCCTCCATGGTAACAGAATGCGACTGATCAGAGATGGTGTGGAACCTGATAGTCGGGCTCAGGTCCTCAGTCTGACAGGTGCTCATTAGTGTGTGTTACAATAATGGACTCCAAAGATTCTTTATTCCTCAAACAATCTTAAGTCTGAGCAGAAAATGTGTTTTTTTCAATACAACCTTCATCCAGAAAAGAATGAGAGTGACGACATATCTGACATGTTACTCTATGGAGCCTGTGTGTGTGTGTGTGTGTGTGTGTGTGTGTGTGTGTGTGTGTGTGTGTGTGTGTGTGTGTGAGTCGGAGGGCCTCCTGGACGAGGACATCTGCTGGGCTAATAAACAATAATCTTGACAAATCGTCTCTGTCGGCTCGCTCGGCCCGCCCTGATAATCACACTGTTAAAGAAGCCATCAGAGGGCGGGACAGACACGTGACTGACAGCTCTGTGGACCAGTGGGAGGGGCTACTGGACCGAAGCCCAGCTGTCTGAGGAGAGGACACGGTGATTCACAGCCAGAGGGCAACCTGGACAGAAATGAACAAACCCACCAACCAACACATGGACGCCCTTCAGCATGTGAACACAAACTGTGATAACGTGGAGATAACCTGCTGTTACTGCTGACAGACAGTCAGGAGCAGGTTCTCTGAGAGGGTCAATGGTGTTTGTGTTTGTGTTAATGATGATTAAATGCAGCTTGTGTGTTCCTGTCACCTTTACGGGCTGTGGAACTCAACAAACTGCAGGGACCAGGGTCTAAATGGTGGATGGGTGTGGGGAAAACATGGACAGTCCTTCAATCAATTCAAAACAATCCAAAATGATTCTGAAACATGTTAGTCGTATACGTGTAGTTTAAACATTGTCTTCTCCTCTGCTCTCTGTTTGTTTCTTAGCCACATACATCCAAAGAAAACAATTTTTTTATCAGCAGCCAGTTTGAACACAGCATTGATGCTGCTGGTGTTTTCCTCCGTACACCCTCTCCACCTTCCCTGGTAGACTGATGCAGCAGAGAGGGGGGGGGGGGGGGTTGGGGTCTGTCCTTGCATGTGCAGTGAGGCTAACATCAGCTGTGTCCGACATACTGCCTGCAGGTGACTGTCTGTGGAGCTGTAAGACAATCAGCTCATCCTGTTTTCCCGGCGGGCGAGTGTTTGAGCTCTGTGGATTCCACACTCTCCCAGGTAAGATGATTCATTAATATAATGTTCATCGGGTAATAATAACAGGCGGGAGAAACCTTTAGTTCCTGTTGGAGAAACTTATGAGACTACAGGTTCCGGCAGGTATGATGATGATGAAGCTGACACTGAAGGCTCAGTGTTGTATCATGACTCAAAAAGAAAAACATGAGAAAGGTAGAAAATGCCGGTTGTGTGTGTAACAGCTCAGACGCGGTCAGAGTGGGGGTGAAACACTTCATGACTCCGAGACAGACAGAGTGTTGACAGACCGGCCGAGAGTAAAGGTCAAAAACAAACAAATCAATGTGATATAAAGGATTTTAATTCTCAAGTCAGAGACACCCTGAGAGACGAGGACGAGTCAGACATCTTCAAATTGTCCTGTCAATCATCCCGCCCGGTGAAGAAGGATAAAAAATAGATACAGAGGGAATAATCAACCTCTACTGCTCATAGAGTGACCCCCAGAAAACACAGCTTCAGAGTACTTCCTGTTCACACAAACACAGCTTCAGGGTACTTCCTGTTCACACAAACACAGCTTCAGAGTACTTCCTGTTCACACACACACAGCTTCAGAGTACTTCCTGTTCACACAAACACAGCTTCAGAGTACTTCCTGTTCACACACACACAGCTTCAGAGTACATCCTGTTCACACAAACACAGCTTCAGAGTACTTCCTGTTCACACACACACACAGCTTCAGGGTACTTCCTGTTCACACAAACACAGCTTCAGAGTACTTCCTGTTCACACAAACACAGCTTCAGGGTACTTCCTGTTCACACAAACAGAGCTTCAGAGTACTTCCTGTTCACACAAACACAGCTTCAGAGTACTTCCTGTTCACACACACACAGCTTCAGGGTACTTCCTGTTCACACACACACAGCTTCAGAGTACTTCCTGTTCACACAAACACAGCTTCAGAGTACTTCCTGTTCACACACACACAGCTTCAGGGTACTTCCTGTTCACACACACACAGCTTCAGGGTATTCACACACACACAGCTTCAGAGTACTTCCTGTTCACACAAACACAGCTTCAGGGTACTTCCTGTTCACACACACACAGCTTCAGGGTATTCACACACACACAGCTTCAGAGTACTTCCTGTTCACACACACACAGCTTCAGAGTACTTCCTGTTCACACAAACACAGCTTCAGGGTACTTCCTGTTCACACACACACAGCTTCAGGGTATTCACACACACACAGCTTCAGAGTACTTCCTGTTCACACAAACACAGCTTCAGAGTACTTCCTGTTCACACAAACAGAGCTTCAGAGTACTTCCTGTTCACAGACACACAGCTTCAGGGTACTTCCTGTTCACACAAACACAGCTTCAGGGTACTTCCTGTTCACACAAACACAGCTTCAGGGTACTTCCTGTTCACACAAACACAGCTTCAGAGTACTTCCTGTTCACACAAACAGAGCTTCAGAGTACTTCCTGTTCACACACACACAGCTTCAGGGTACTTCCTGTTCACACAAACACAGCTTCAGAGTACTTCCTGTTCACACAAACACAGCTTCAGGGTACTTCCTGCTCACACAAACACAGCTTCAGGGTACTTCCTGTTCACACACACACACAGCTTCAGGGTACTTCCTGTTCACACACACACAGCTTCAGGGTACTTCCTGTTCACACACACACACACAGCTTCAGGGTACTTCCTGTTCACACAAACACAGCTTCAGGGTACTTCCTGTTCACACACACACACTCGACTCACCGACGGGCATGTCCTCGTAGATGAGCAGGTACGTGGAGAAGAAGTAGTTGAGGAAGCGTGGCGGCTGGTTGGAGCCTGTGATGGAGACAGAAAGAAGATTTTATTATCCCAATGATTCAGAACAGTGGTTCTCAACAGGAGGGTCGGGACCCAAAGTGGGCCACGGAGAACAGTGGGTTGGGGCTTTGATATAACTCTAGTAAAAATCCAACGATGTCGACACCTCGTTTGATATCATGGCAACAAAGATAGGAGTCCTATAGTCGCCCACAATTAGAAGATTTCTTGTTGTAAATGGTCCAAATTCCCTCCTGTCTTAGGGAACAGGTGTAGTTCTTTTAAAGCTTTGAGACTTTTGATGATTAAAATGACAGTTTGTTTTGTTTTAAAACACGTGGTGTTTGACAACCTTATATCATATTCACGTCTTCTCCACGTCTGTTAAAGTCTCATCGTTGGCCTCGAACCATAAGAACAAAGACTCATGCACACCGTCTAAAATGAAGCGTTGCCAACGTGCAGGAATGGAGACAGCGTGCAGAAGGTTTTCTGATGGAGCACCTCGGCCACTCTGCTCTCTGTTTGTAAGAAACATAAACACAACGTTCACTCCAAAAACAACAACCTGAGGACTGGTGAAAATGAACGAACACCTCGCTGCAGAGGATCTGAAGCTTCAGTGTTTCTTCACACGATCGATCATTAAGGTAACAGATTGCATTGTTTAAAACATGAGGCTTCATAAAGCATACATGTTCTGTATATTATGTATATATGTATATTATTATACAACCTTCCCGGACCCTGCAGCTTACTGACGAGTTCTGCAGGAGGGAACGAGTCCAGATCAGCGCTGCACCGTTAGCGTGGAAGCTAACCTGAATGTTGCAATCAAACATTTCCCTGCATGAAATCCTAAAATGGGTCAGAGTCTGTTTGTCTAAAGAAAGTATTTAAGAAGCTGATTGTTCTTTTTTAATCCAGGATTAAATCCATCCAAACTTCTTTAATCTCTTCGTTTGGAAGCCTTAATGTCAGGAATAAAAGGAGCAGATGCTAACATCAAGAGGAGTATTAAGATGAGAGGATTAAGACGAGTGTGAACAAACATTCTAACTTTCCATCTGAGTGCTGCGATAAGACAACAACTTTCAAATATCACCGACATGCTTCCTGCAGGAGCGTCATTTAATAAACTGGCAGCACACTCTATCCTCGCCGTAATGACCTCGTACTGACCTCTGTCACTGTGTGCACACCTTAAAGGTGAGTTGCAGGGTGAATGCTGCTCCCTGTTCATCAGAGTCTGTGAGCGAGGAGGCCGAGCAACGCAAGCTGTTTCCAGGAAATCGGAGAACAAAACTCTGTGATCAGCTGATCAGAGAGAGAGAGAGAGAGAGAGAGAGAGGGAGTGAGAGAGAGAGAGAGAGAGAGAGAGAGAGAGAGAAGGCGTTTGAAGACAGAGACATAATCTCTCTCTGATAGTTTGAGCTGTGAGGTCAGCGATGAACCTGACCCAGAGGATGACGGCGTCCAGCTCTGAGCGTCTGAGACTGTTTTACAGTCTGTTAAAGACACAGAGACAGAGAGAGAGAGAGTGTGACAGGGGGACGAGCGTTAACAAGCTCCCCTCCTCACCTGTGTCCGCTTTGATAGAGGAACACAGAAACATCCTCACAGAGACCATCAGCACATTCATCTGCTGATCACACGGCGGAGGAGAGAGGTGAGAAAGTACAGGGTCCTGTAATCGTGTACCTGAGTTCTCAGCTGTCTCTCCTTTATGTGTTTCTCTGAAAACTTCTTACTTTCACCGTCTGAACTCCTTACACGTTCTAAAACATGCTCCTCTCTTTATCTTTAATACTGAATGAAGCCTGAGTGACGTCACTCATCTGTTCCTGCAGGGGGCGCTGGAGTCCCATCGATGGCAGTCTCCACGCTGGAAATGCTGTCTCAGCCATAACTTTCAGTCAACCTAACAACAGGCTGAGAGCTGGAGCTGAGGCGGGTTTTAAGACTCCTGACAAACTGTTACACCACGCCCACCTGTCAATCAGGTCAGCTGCACACCTTATTGTGAATAACTCTTATCATAACATCATCAAAGTCATCAAAACATTCACCACCCGTACAGTGTGTGTCGATCGAGACATGCGCTAATCAGACCTTTTTTGAACCAGGCTGTAAACATGTTAATCTCTGCTGTAAAAACAGGCTTTTTAGAATGGGTGTGTACGGGACTTCCTGTGCTTCTGCAGCCAGCCTCTAGTGGACACTCGAGGAACTGCAGGATTTTACACTTGAGCATCAGGTTACTGATTGAGTTAAACACACACATCACTTCAGCTACACACTGCAGGATTTTACACTTCAACATCGGCTTCATTTTTTAACACTTGAGGTTGCTGCTTGTTGAAGACCAGAGCTGGTAACACGTCTGTTATTTATGGGTGTTCATTATTTAATACATTTTAAGTTGATTAGAAAAAGCCTGCGAGTGCGAGTGCACGTCGTCAGCGAGGCGATGCTCTGCAGGGTCAGCGTGCTAATCGGTGATTTAGAAACAACAGAGGAGAGAGGAGGAGGCATGAAAAGGTAAACTGAGGCTGAGCAGCTTCACGTGGAGAGAAACGCTTTGATGAAGTCTTTGAGTGAGACGGAGAGAGGTTGTGACACTTAATAACTCTCCTCTCTGCTGCAGCTCACACAGACTGCTGGAGTGTCCCGCTGTCAGTCAGAGACTCTAACCATGACTCTCTCTCGCTCTCTCTCTCTATCTCTCTATTTCTCTCACTCAGTCTCTCTCTCTCTCTCTCTCTCTCCCTCTCTCTCTCTCTCTCTCGCCCTCCCTCTCTCACTCTCCCTCTCTCTCTCTCCCCTCTCTCTCTCTCTCTCTCTCTCTCTCTCTCTCTCTCTCTCTCTCTCTCTCTCTCTCTCTCTCTCTCCCTCTCTCTCTCTCTCTCTATCTCTCGCCCTCTCTCTCTCACTCTCTCCCTCTCTCTCCCTCTCTCTTGCCCTCTCTGTCTCTCTCTCTCTCGCCCTCTCTCTCTCTGTCTCTCCCTCTCTCTCTCTCTCTCTCTCCCTCTCTCTCTCTCCCTCTCTCTCGCCCTCTCTCTCTCTCTCTCTCTCTCTCTCCCTCTCTCTCTCCCTCTCTCTCTCTCTCTCTCTCCCTCTCTCTCTCTCCCTCTCTCTCTCTCCCTCTCTCTCTCTCATCTCTCTCTCTCTCATCTCTCTCTCACTCTCTCCCTCTCTCTCTCTCTCTCATCTCTCTCTCTCACCTTCTCTCCCTCTCTCTATCTCTCGCCCTCTCTCTCTCACTCTCTCTCTCCCTCTCTCTCCCTCTCTCTCCCTCTCTCTTGCCCTCTCTGTCTCTCTCTCTCTCTCTCTCTCTCTCACAGAGACACACTCTTTAAAAACACTCTGTTCCAATGCAGGACGGACGAGAGGAGGAGGAGAGAGAGAGAATGACGGGGATGATACATGAGAAAAGTAATTGAACATGAGTGAGCTGAGAGAGGTTCAAAAGTCGAGAGACGTGGAGGTGAAACAGGATGTGTAAAAGCGGGTCATGTGACTATCTGAGGGAGAATTGATCTGATAAACTCACTTACTCAAACGTTCTGTCGTTGGGAAGCTTCTTTATATTTTATTCAGACACTTCCAAAGAAAGGATGAACATTTTTCAGTGTCTACAATGAATCGTCCTAAAAGTCCGAACTGAGTTTGAAGACAGCTTCCAGGTTTCCTGCAACTTTATTCTGAAACTTTCTAAAGCCTGACTTTAATCTGAAAATCTTTCCCTGAAGGTGTTTAACATGTAGTATTCTAAATGTTATATATTAGTTGTTGAGTTCTTATCAAAGTCAGTGAAATCCCTCATTCTTTAGTTCTCACAGGAAGTGTGTTGTCGTAGGGGCCGCTATGACAGACACAACGTTTATCGTCGCTGTGGAAACACTGGATGTTATTGATGGCCAGCTACACTCACACACACGATGAGTGTGACCTCGCCAAGGCACGCTGAGTCTGACATTAGATTTGAACAGCGAAGATGTGAACGAGTCGACCTCTCAGGACTCACCTTCACACAGCGGGGGGAGGAGGAGGAGGGGAAGGAAGAGCTCGACAAACATCATCATCATCCTGCCGCCTGAACCCACACTCCACGACAT